ATTAAGTTCAATAATATAAACTCCTCATGCGAATAACTTTAATTGAAAATATAAAATCACAAAATCTATATTGAATTGATTAGGCTACATCATAGCCTTAATAAAATAAATCAGTTCATAATAAAAATAATAAAATCTGAAATCACAATTATGAACATAAGAATATCTAAGGGAAAACAAAACCTAATTTGAGGTAATTGAAATATTTGATCTTCTTGTTGATGGATCCTCTATCTTGACCTCCAAGAGTGCCCCAAAAGAGGGCTGCCACAAGCCTCTCAAAACTCTCTTAATTCTGAATTTGGATGGGTATTTATAGGATTTTAGAAACCCTAATTGAAATAGAAGTAGGACTTGGAATAGAAATAGGAAACTGAATTTTGGATGCTGATCCGTGGTGCTGACACTTCGGATTACGTGTTGACACAAAATAGGAAATAGAATCTGATTTTGGACTTTTAACGCATGGTGTCGACATACCGATCATGTGTCGACACTACACCCGTGTCGGGTTTCTGGTCTCCTTTTGCAATTTCTTCAATGGTAAAATAGCAGATTTGGTTCCTGACTTCTGGATTTTGCACAAGTTGTTCCTCAAGTCTCTGATTTCTTCAATTTACTTCTAAAAATTAAGATTTCTTCCAATTAAATCATTTCCTATACAAAGAATGAAAACCATGTAAAATCAAACAAAATCCCATAAAACTCATCCAAATATCAATAATATCAAAGTAAAAATTCCCTATTAATATGTATATAAATTTAGCTCATCAGTGGCAATTTCCCCTAATTGTTGCAAGGCGGGGACAAGGGGTTATTTTTCCCCCATGAATTTACATGGAGAATGTCCCTTGATCTACAAGGATCTCCATTCCCGTGAAAAATTTTTAAAAATATGTAAATTAATTTTATTTTAAATTTAACCTAATTCAATACATTATAATACATTTCAACCCCAACCTAATAAAATTTAAATTTTACCCAATTTTACACAACTCAATGTAACCCATATCTTAGTCTAACCCAATTAAATTAAATTGGATTGATCTTTGTTTATGTTTGGAGAATTTATATTTGATTTTATGGTTAGAGAATTTTAGTTAATTATGCTTGAACTTTTATAGCTTTGCTCATTGTATTAGAATATTTGATGATTATATTTGGAGAATGAAATTTACATTTTGGTATAGATTAGTGAGGAATGGGGATGAGGGGCAAAATCTGCTCCTCTTAAAAAATCCCCATATGAATTTGGTGGAGACAAGGACAAGGAGGCACTTTTTGGCCTTGTGGGGCCCCATTGCCACCTTTATTGGGATGGCTCATCTTCAACTTTACCCCACCATAAAAGGTTTGTCTATTATCAAGCCTCTTTTCTTTGATAGTACAAATTATAATTATTGAAAGCATAGAATGAGAGTCTTCATGCTTGTTAGTAAGCCAAAAGCTTGGCTTACCACCATAAATGGGCGATATGTTCCTATGAAGAAGGTTAAAGAAATTGAAATGCCTAAAAGTGAATGTGAATTGAAAGATGATGAAGACCAAGATCAACAACAAGGCCATCAACCTGCTTCAACGTGCTTTCAATCCAACAAAATTCAATAGAACCTTTGGATGTGGAGTGGCCAAGGAGATTTGGGACATGTTGGAAACTACTTAAGAAGGCACCAACCAAGTGAAGAAGTCCAAAATAAATAGACTCATTCACAAGTATGAGCTTTTCAAGATGGAACCGGATGAATGCATTGCCGACATGTATACAAGATTCAATGAAATTATCACCAACCTTAAAGCTTGTAGGAAGACATAACCAACAAGTGAATTAGTGAGAAAAGTTCTTATATGTCTACCAAAAAGTTGGGAAGTAAAGAAGACAGCCATTGAAGAAGCCAAGGTTCTTAACTTATTAGAGTTTGATGAGCTTTTGGATCTCTAATGACTCATGAGATCGATTTGATAGGTGATGAAAAAGTTGTTAAGAGAAAGAAGAATCTAGCATTCAAAGCCAATGAAAGTTATGATGAGTGTAGGAATGAGGATGATATCACCAAATTTGTTTCGAAGAAAGTCAAGAAATATATGAAGAAGAGCCTTAAAGGGAAATCCTCTAACAGAAATAAGGAAATTCATCACTCTAGAGGAAAAATATGTCAAGATGATGATGATAGAGGAAAGCCAAGCAAGAAGCATATCAAATGTTATTAGTGCAATGAGATGGGGCACCATAAAGATGAATGCCCCAATTGAAGATAGGGAAGAAAAAGAAAGCATTTGTTGCCACATGGAGCAATGATGAATGTAGCTCATCCAAGAATGAAGGCTCCTCGAAAGATGGGGTGGCCAATCTTTGCTTTGTGGCTCCAGATGATAACTTCTTTGATGAAGAGGTAAACTCTAACTTTTCTAGTTCATTTTGTGACAGCTCTTATGATTATTTTTATGTGAGTTGTGTAGAGTACTTGATTGCTCCTTTAATAATATCTAAAGACTAAGGAATGAGAATCTTACTCTTACTAAATCTATATCTTTACTTAAAGAAGAGCTTTAACCTATTTGAAAACAAAATAAAAATTTATTGAAAGAGAATGCATCTTTGAATTTTGAGATTGTCTCCTTGAAAAATGAGTTTTTTAATAATGTTTTGAAAAAGGAAAATAAACACTTGAAAAAGAAAGTTGTGAGTTTGAGAACGTGATCTGTAAATTCACTTTGAGTAAGGAAAAAATTGATTCTATCTTCAAGTTCTCAAAGAAGTGTTTTTCACAAAAGGGGCATTGGATTTAGTTGTTCTAAAAGGCAAAAGAACTTCAAAAACATTTTTGTAAGGGTTAGCCAATTCTCAATTCCTAAAGTAACTTATTATTATTGCAAAGGAAAATGACATATTGCACATGTGCATCATTTGAAGAAATTAAAAGCTCAAGGCAAAGTAAGGCAAATTTGGGTTCCAAAAGGAACTTTAAGTACTAACTCCCAAGGACCCAAGCAAATTTGGGTACCAAAAATCAAAACTTGATTTTGTTTTATAGGTAAGGTTGATGGCAATGTCATAAGAAAAGAATAGTTGATCTTGATAAAGACTTGTACCTTAATAAGAAAGTTGGAGTGGAATTACAAAGAAGAATTTGCTTTTGAATGCTTCACTTATGTGCTTAAATTGGTATAATTTATCTTATTGCATTTATTTGTTAAGTATAGTTGCATGAATATGACTAAGATGATTTGTTCATATGTGCTCATTCTTTGATACATATGCTTGATATGTGTAAATGGTTATCTTGATTATTTATCATATATAGTTCATGATGAGTTTTTGATGTTATAAGTGATTTTCAATGTCATATATGCCTTTTTTTATTATAGTTGATGATTTAATTTAATTGATTAATTTTAATAACTTATCTCACTTTACATTGTTTGTCACATTCGAATTTACTTGTCTCACTGTTTTGATGATTTTGTTGATAGCACTTAGAAGTTGAGCATGACCTCAAGGAGAGTCTTACACTTGGAAGTTAATTATGGCTTCATTTCATAATGCTACTTCAGTACTTTTCATAATTTATGCGTTTGGTAAATTATTCATTCCTACTTTTTTGGAAAGGAATAAAAAAACCATCTCATCCAAAATTAATAGAATTCCTAAATAATTTAATAAAATTCCCAAATCTTTTTTTGTACATTACATATTAAATTATTAATTAATTTAATTTTAAATAATAATATGTCTAATTGAATAATTTTACAATAAGCAGTTTTTTTGGAAATATAATTACTAAACACTAAAATGCTTTTTCTGGCAGTACAACACAATACTTGTAACAGTTATAGCTACAGTTATAGAATAGTATAGGACAATGTTGTCAAACTAAACCTGTATTAGGAAATTTATATGTTTGCTTTTTGATGAATGATTTTGATGATATTTAATTATATGAAAGTTTATGTCATGCACTTGAATGTCTGCATAGTCATGGTTGATTTCAATGAATAAGATTATTGATGTGTCCTAATACAAGTTATGATGCATGTATGAAAGATGAAGATGTTGAATCTATTCATGTTGTATTAAATGAGACTAACTCCACTTGCTTTAAAAAGAGTTGTGTAATTGTGATGTAGATGTTATTGGACAACAAGGGTAAAAATTGACATTGAACGCAATAGCATCACACAATCTTCATGTAAAGCAAGTGAGAAGAAAAAAATTGAGGATATGCAACAAGCATAGACATAAAGAGAGTAATTCTACCCAAAAGAGAGATCCTATAAATGTAATGTGGTAGTTGGTGATATATCTCAAAAGGTAAGAAATACATATGTTGTGCATAATGATTGCATTAACATTGTTTTTGAAACTATTAATGAGTTTTGTTACAAAGAATTCTCCAAAACAATGCTAGGTGAACTTGAGATGATTAAACTTTTTGAACCTCAAATGAAATTATCTCAAAGATGACACCTTCACCAATAAAAAAGGACATACAAAAAAGATGCACAAGTTTGAAATGTAGAAAGAAAAGTCAATGGTTTCTCGAACAAGGTATTCAATTTCTCTAACAACAATAGAGGTAAACTTATGGATCTCAATGTAATATCCCAAATTTTTGGGAATTTTATCAATTAAGTTAGGGGACTTATTTTGGGAGAAATATTGTTTTGGGGCCTAATAGCTAAAAACTCCAAAGTTGAGGGACTTAAAAGAAAGGAAATGAGATAAGGATCAGCTGCTTTTTCTTTTTTCTTTTTTTTTTTCTTTCTTTGTTTTCTTCCTCATCAGACTCGCAACCTGCTCTTCTTCCTTTTTCTCCCCGACAAGCCTCGCCAAGCTGCCGACAGTCCTCTCTTAAGGAATTGGCAAAAGCTTGCTATTTTCTCCTCTTTTCTTGTTCAAGAACAAGAATTAGGACCTAGAAGCCTCATGAAGCAAGAAAAATCCCAAATCTAGCCGCCTTCCTCCTCCCCTGTGGTCAGTTTCAGCTTGGTGTGGGTGTGAATTTCTCGGTTTTTTGAGTAAGCAACAACCATGGAATTCATCTTTTCTCCCTTAATTTGGCTTGGGTTACTCTAATTTTGTTATGGGTTCTTGAATTTGGTAGTTGCCATGAGTTCCTCCATTTCTTTTTCCCATCGGCTTCCTTCCCAACCGGACCCGGTGCTACTTGCCGGAGGATTTTGGGTATGTGGCAACCCCTTGAATTCAACTATTACCCATTTAATTGCTAAAATTATCCATGTGATTGCTGCCCCTGTCCTGTTTAATTTTTGCCAAAATATAGAAGAAATTGGTAGCGCTTCAAGTTGTGTTTTTAGTTTAATTCATGTAGAAATCTTTTGATTTAGCTGCGTGAGGTTTATATGGAAAAATCCCGTGAATTAGCTATTGTTTTGCCAAATTTCTGGAAGTTGCAGTACTGTTCACTGCGTGATCACTGTTCACAGTATTGTTCACGGGTACCGTTCATGGTATTGTTCATGCACTAATGGCCAACAATAGGAGGGTTTAAATGTTTAGTTTATACTGAAAATGAAATTAGAGGTGTCCGGTCATGTGGAGGTTAATATAAATAGCATCTTGATTAGGGGGTGATCCTAATGAAGTTTTTACTTTGAATTTGTGGTAGTACGGTATTAATTCTGAGGTATTTTGATTAGGTTCTTGAGTGTTATGTCACCCAAGCACTTGGCTTGAGTTTTTGGTATTACAGATTTGAGGTAAGTAAATTATGGTAACGCCCTTCGATTTCAAAGCATGTTTTAAATTGTTTTTAAGATGGTGGTAAGGTTTAAATTGACTTTATTTGCACCGAGCATGATTAGTTTGAAATTGTAACTGCACCAAACCAGAAGTCCTCCTTCAGTCTGTATCTGCACTCTGGATTGACCTGCAAAGCCCCGAGGTGAATCCTCGGGGTAGACACTCCGATGCTTAAGTCAGCAATAATCGGGGCTACCTTTAGAACGGAGAAACAAGGAGCTTAGGGTTGGTTTCAATTACCTTTTGGCGTGGCCCTTGAGGGGTATTTATATGTTCCCATGAAGAAACCACGTGGCATGCCAAGCAAAATATTTGGGATCTGATGTGTATCTCCAGGTAGTTATTTCGGGATTTGATACGTATCTCCAAGCAGTTATTTTGGGGCTCGAAGATTGAGCCAAGCAAGATATTCGGGATTTGATGTGAGGATGTCCATCGTAACTGCTATGCTGTTGTTCGAGCGGGAAGCTCTGGATTTATTCCTTACTTCGGTTGTAAAAGAATTACTGTCGTACGTTCGAGGTTGAGCACCTCGGACTTGCCCTTACACTATTCCCCCCCTCCCCCCGAAGTCATTCACTTGTGAATGATATTGTTGGAGGTTATAGGGGTAGTGCAGAAATAGGAAGAAAGAGAGATAAAGATGAGTGATGGAAAATCCGTGACTTTACATGTATAGATGACCATAGGCAATACTTGGTTATGAGTCATAATAAAAAGTAATGACCTGAGTAATGGTGATCGCAGGCAAAACAGAGCACAAGACACAGAGTCACTGTAACCGGAGCCGAAGTAAAGCGTGTGACACTAGGTCACTGTGGCCGGAGCCGAAGTGAAGCATGTGACACTGGGTCACTGTTGCCGGAGCCAAAGTGAAGCATGTGACACTGGGTCACTGTGGCCGGGGCTGAAGTAAAATACTTGTGCAAAATTTAAAATGGATAAAAGTGAGCAAGAGTGTTGAAATGGGCTTAAGCGGGCCCATCTGAGAAGTCTGAAAAAAAGGTGGTGCGCGACGCGACAGCTATCCTCTGAATGACGTGCGTAATAAATGCCGCTGTAAAAAGATAAATGTAATAGTCCAACGGGCAGATGTAAAAAATGAACCGTCGAATTCGAAACGGTACCTTTGCAGCCGTTAGATGGGTTAATCACAGCCGTTGAGGCGTATTTTGCCTTTGGTATAAAAGGCTACACTTCTGTAAAAGGGGACTTTTTTACTCTCGTTATTTTGCTAGTACACCCTTGTGAAATTTCTACTAAATTTCT